GCTGTATGTGTGTATGTGTGTGTGATATATGTGGTGTGTGTGTGATATATGTGGAGTATGTGGTGTATGTGCTGTAGGTGGTATGTGGTATTGTGCTGTTTGTGGTGTGCGTGGTTTATGTGCTGTATGTGTGGTATGTAGGTGTATGTGGTATATTTGTTATGTGTCTGTGGTGCATGTGGTGTATATGATATATGTGGTGTGTGTCTGTGGTGTGTGTGTGATGTATGTATATGTATGGTGTGTATATGTGATGTGTGTATGTGTGTGGTGTGTGTATGTGGTATGTGTGTTTGTGGTATATTGTGGTGTGTATGTGGTGTGTGTATGTGTGTGCATGTATGTGTATGTGGTATATGGTGTGTGTGGTGCATGTGGTGTGTGTGTGTGTATGTGGTATGTGTGTTTGTGGTATATTGTGATGTGTGTACGTGTGTGCATGTGTGTGTATGTGGTATATGCGGTGTGTATGTGGTGTGTGTATGTGTGTGTATGTGGTGTGTGTGGTGCATGTGGTGTGTGTGTGTGTGCATGTGTGTGTATGTGGTATATTGTGGTGTGTATACGTGTGTGCATGTGTGTATGTGGTATATGTGGTGTGTGTGGTGCATGTGGTGTGTGTATGTGTGTGCATGTGTGTGTATGTGGTATATGTGGTGTGTGTGTGTGTGTGTGTGTGACTGTAGGCGTGCACATTTGTGCATGTGCATGTGCAGGCCAGAAACTGCTACAAGCATCTCTAGAGCTCTTTTCCACCTTAGCTTTAGAGACTGCCTGAGCTCATCGGCTCAGCTGTGCTGGCTAGTCAAGAAGCCCTGGGATCTGCCTGCCTCGGTGCTCTCTGCCCCATCCCAGTTCTGGCATCACAGGCCTGTGCCACCATGCCGGCTTTTCTCTGGTTGCTGGGGCTAGAACTCAGGTCCACACCCTTGTGCTACAGACACTCTGCCATCTGAGCCGTCTCCTTGTCCGTAGCCGCATCACTTTTCAAGTGGAAAGTTCAACGGTACAAGCCTCACCACCACCCATCTGTAGAATGTTTTAAAGTTCCTGAGCATCTGAAATGTTGACTCTAAACAACCACCACCCCAGGCCCTGGCAAACGCCCTCTACTTGTGTATTGTTAAGGATTTGACTTCTTGGGGACCTTGTATGGTGTGATCCTTCAGTACTTGCCTTTCGTATTTGGCTTGTTTCTCTGCAGAGTCCTCAAGGTTGCTGCCTTCCTAGCATTCCCTTCCATTTTAAGGCTAATAATATCCCATTTAAGTAATTGTTGGAAATTTGAACAGCCTGTCTTTCCCAGACGCCTTTCCAAAATATCCACTAGGGGGCAGTAAAAGATGCAGAAAATTTCAATAAGCCTCCTGAGTTGAGTGCCAAGCAAGCTGGCCTAGGCATCCTGTCTGTATCTCTCTCAGCCATCCGTGTATACAGTTACAAGATAATGGATTTCACATCCGAAAGTAGAGCTGGATAAGCCAGAGATACCATCAGCTGTAGCTTCAGAGCCGTCTTCCTCGCACTCTGGCAAACACTAAGGTGTAGAACTTCATTTCCAATAGTAGCTTCAGAATCACATATCCAGGTCTCAGCTGAAATCAAGTCAAAATTTTCAGTGGGAGGTGAGGGTAAGGGTGAAGGTGGGGCCTAGAGAGAGAAACTGTATTTAACATGAGTCGTTGGAGGGAACGCCAGAAGTCAGAAGACTTTGGGGGGGGGGGGAGTGGTGCATGTGTGTGTGTGTGTGTGTGCGTGCGCGCGTGTTTGTGTAGACCAGAGGTCAAAGCCAGATGTCTTTCTCAGTTGCGCTCCCCTCTTCTGTTTTTGAGGCAGGGTCTCTCACTGAGCCTGGAGCTCAGCAGCTCATGTAGAGTGGCTCACGGGCGAGCCCCAGGCATCCCCCTGTCTCTGTCTCCCTGGTGCTGAGATTACAGGCTTACACCAGCATGTCCAGCTTTTTGTGGGAGATCAAACTTGGGTCCTGCTAGCATGGCAGTTGCTGTGATGACTGAGCCAGGCTGTGGCACTTGACTCTGATCGCACTAGGAACCCAGACACAGGTTTGAAACTGGTGCATCCCAGGCAGCTCAGGGTCCATAGAGCAGTTGTTCTGAGACAGCCATCTTTAGGGTGAGGTCGGAGCCCCCAGATGTCAGCAGTGTCTGACCTAGCAAGAGAGCCTTTCCTACAGCAGTCAGAAAACAGGTCTTGGATTTTACCTTAGCAAAAGTAAAAATGGCCAGGTGAACCTGAGGTGGGACCAAGAGACCTGGCTTCTCATCCTAGCTGCCCACTAGCCAGCTAGGGGACCCAAGGCGAGTCCTGTCTCCTCTCTGGGCCTCAGCCTCCCCTTTGAGTTATAGGTGGATGGCATGATGTCCATCTGCAAGGATCCTTTCAGTTCAGAAAATTCAATGATTCTATTAGAATTAATAATCTTGATTTGTAGTGACGACTCTGGCAAAGAGCAGGAAAAAACATACAACAATGTAATAAATGACAGGGATTATTGACCATGTAGTTTAATTTATTTAAGCCACATACCCCGAATTCAAAGAAGAAAATATCACTCCTGATAATATATTGAACTGTTAGTATCATTGGCCTGGAAAAGGCTTTCCAGAGGCAGAAATTACCCATCAGGGCAAACTTGGCATTTTTCACTGGCTGATGCATTTGTCCGTCACACTCATAGTTACTGTAAAGGCCATGCATGTGGATGCCCTGGATGAATATTAAATAACGACATAAACATCAAGGTCACCATTGCAGGAAAGGCTCTGTGGAGGACCTGAGAGGCGGATTGATCTTTTGTGAAGTTCCATTCCAGAACCCTGCTGACGTGGAGGAAGCAGTTGATGGAGCCATTATTAAGGCTCTAGATGTCTCTCCATTGTTAAGGATCTTTTACAAGCCCGAGGAATCAGCAAAAGCTTCAGTTAGAAATATAGGCCAGTCAGAGAGATAAGTACATTCCAGAGTGCAGATGGCCTGGGTCAGGCTTACACAGCGAAGGCAAAGGCTGACGGGAGGCCAGCCCTTAACCATCAACACCTCTGCCAGCCTGCCGGGCACTGCTCTTAGTGACAGCTCAGAACAGAGCTTCTGTCCCGGGAGCTGCAGGGAGCAAGGTGACCCCTACCCCTCTGTTCTCTTCACGCGTCCCCACTGAAGACCTCCTCCCTCAACATCTCAGTCTTCTGCTTCCGTAGCTTCCCAAAGCACCCCAACACGGACGGACGTCTGGATGTCTCTCCCGGTCGGTTTGTAAAGAATAGAACACATGTCTTTCAGCTCCACTGTCCAATGTCAAGATGCTGGTAGCTGGTGAGGGACCTTTTCCTGCATCACAAGGTGGCAAAGAGCATCACAGGATGCGACATGGCAAATGTGCCAGGGGACAGTGGAGAGGTGTGGTCGCTCTTCATTTCTTATGAAGCCACAAGCCTCCATTCTCATAGCTTCCTCAGCTTTGCCTGCCGAGTTTCCACCTTGAGATACCATTTGCCTGCTGAGTTTCCACCTTGAGATATCATTCATATATACATACAGGGATTAAATTTCCGGCATGTGAGCTCCGAAAGAATACCATGAAGCCACAGCCTGGAGGACACAGTTACCTGTAAATCATACACAACCAAGGGTTTCGATCTGAATTCTGGCCAAGTGCCTGGAACATCATGAGAGTGTCCTGCTGACCCAGATCAGGGAGGAAGGCAAATGCTGCAGCAGACAGAACCTAATTCTCAAAAGGGTCAAACAGGTCGGAGGATGGGCCAAGTCTGTGAGACACCCTTAACAAACCAGAAAACCCTTTCTCATGTGCTGACTCGGGGTGGCTGAGCTTAGGGCTTTGTACATTTCGGTCGATCACGTCTCTGTATTATCCCATTGAAGGGTGAAAGGAATATGGGGGAAGGCACAGGGCTTCCGAGTCCTCAGTCCCAACTCTGCCACCTCCCCAGTTGAACTGGTAAGTTACTCTATCTTTGAAAATGATAGTGGTCGGGCTTTCGTCCCTCACATGTCAGCTTTTGTGTTCTTAGTCTGCTACATTTATTTTCTCATTGAGTCCTCAGCCCAATATCAGTCCTGGAGCTGAGAATGTAGCTCAGCTGGATGCATGCTTGCCCAGCTTGCACAGAGGTGGCTCAGCTGGACGCATGCTTGCCCAGCTTGCACAGAGGTGGCTCTGCTGGATGCATGCTTGCCCAGCTTGCACAGAGGTGGCTCAGCTGGACGCATGCTTGCCCAACTTGCACAGAGGTGGCTCAGCTGGACGCATGCTTGCCCAGCTTGCACAGAGGTGGCTCAGCTGGACGCATGCTTGCCCAGCTTGCACAGAGGTGGCTCAGCTGGACGCATGCTTGCCTAGCTTGCACAGAGTCCAGCAACACATGTGCCAGGTGTGATGTTTGCTCATCTATAATCCCAGCACTTGGCAGGTGAAGAGCTCAAGGTCATCCCTAGCTACAGAGCAAGTTCAAAGCCAGGTTAGACAAGGTACCCTGTCTCAAAACAAAGAAGATTCAGAAAAAGAAGATAGTTTTAGTTCTATGTAGCAGTTATGGAAGGTAGAAATAATTTGCGCCGTAAGTGACAGTCAGGATTTGAACCCAGGCAGGCTTCTTCCTCTCACACATAGCAGCTGCATCTCTCTCTAACAGCCTTGTTTTCTGGGAGGGTTTGATGAAGTAATGTGTGTAAAGTGCCGAATACGCGCCTGCCATGTCACGGGCACTCACAGATTGCATCAAGCCACTGTCATTGTTACTAGTTCCATGACTTGTACAAGAATACAACTGAGAATGTGACTTGAACTCAGGTCTTATGGTTGCGTTTCTAATCCATGTTCCGCCTCCCCCTAGAGTAGAAGACTGAGGACGGATCCATGTCATGGTACCCCAGGATAGTGTCATCTCAGTGGAAGACACCCAGTGAGCACTGGGGAACCGGGATCCTGACGCAACATTAAAGGTTCTTTCCCTCCCTCCCAGGTTCGGATGGTGAAAGATGGTGACCCGACCTGGAAGCCCACCTTTATTGTGAAACCAGACAGCGGTTGTCAGGGCGATGGAATCTACCTCATTAAAGATCCCAATGACATCCGCATGACTGGGGCCCTCCAGAACAGGCCAGCAGTGGTCCAGGAGTACATCTGTAAGCCTCTCCTTATTGACAAGCTCAAGTTTGACATCCGTCTGTACGTCCTGCTCAAGTCCTTGGAGCCCTTAGAGATTTATATAGCCAAAGATGGACTCTCTAGATTTTGTACAGAGCCGTATCACGAGCCGAACCCCCAGAACCTGCACCACGTCTTCATGCACTTGACCAACTACTCGCTCAACATCCACAGCAGCAAGTTCGTCCACTCTGACAACGCCAGTACGGGCAGCAAGAGGACTTTCTCTAGCATTCTCTGTAGACTCTCTTCCAAAGGCATTGATATCAAGAAGGTCTGGTCTGACATCATCTCCTTGGTGATCAAGACTGTCATTGCCCTGACTCCGGAGCTCAAAGTTTTCTACCAATCAGACATCCCTACAGGGAGGCCAGGGCCCACCTGCTTCCAGGTAACCGTACCAGCTTCCACCCGCTATGGGATGCAGGATGGGGCAGGATGGCCAGATGCGGGGATATAGGAGGTAACCGCCTCAGGCTTTTGAAACCTTTAGTCAACTTCCAACTTTCTCTCTCCAATAAGGGAGGGCAAGCCACTCCCCTCTTTGAACCATAGATCTGTAGGATTCGTACAGTCTTCACTCATCGAAGAGTTGTTACACCTACCTAGTAGGAGGTCAGGTATTGTAGAATTCTGCTGCCCGATGCCAAGAATCCATAGTGGGAGAAAGAGCCACTAAGATGCAACTAATGGAGTATTACAAGTGATAGAATCAAATAGGAAATGGAGCAAGTGCTATGGGACTGTGGACCCATCTACCATTCCTGACTGAGTCCAGGATGGCTCCTTGAAACTTAGCTAAGAAACAGCAGGGAAGAGTGCACTGGGATGGCCACAGAATGTTCTAGGTGGAGACATGTTGCCTTGGAGGTAAGAGGGAAGCCTGGTGTGTCTGAGATGCCAAAAGAAGTTCACTGTGGCTACGGTTGGGGTTAAGGCCCAGATGAGGGATGTGAGAGACAGTGAAGAGGGAAAGTAGGTTAGGACCAAGTGGTGGAGTACCCAAGGGCAGTGGCGACCACCAGAGGGCTATAAACAGATTCCGCTCATGTTATATTTTCAGATTCCCAAGTACACAGTTCCTTGTTCTGTGGGTTAGGGCTGAGTCAAGGCTGGCTGCAAGATTGCAATGAGATCAATGCTTCTGTGTAATCAGAAGATGCTGCCTCTGAGGAGAGAGGTCTTGGTAGGCATGGAGAGACTAGGTAACACTGGGTGCCATCTGAGAGGCTGACTGACTAGACCTGGAGAAAGAGAAGAGATGGTAGCTAGAGAAGAGGAGCTAAGATGGAGACACATGTCTTGGGCCCTGTGTAGCAGCTGAAAGGAGAGGTTGATACAAGTTGATGTTTGGGCTGGCGTCCAGGAGAGACAGGGAGGTCTAAGAGAGAACTGAGAACTCACCCACAGCAGCACCGGAAGGCAAACGTGTCAGAAATGTCCAGGAAGACGGACTCAGAGAACACCTGGGCATGGGCTGCAGCCTCAGACGCTGCCAGGAGGCCAAGACCATCCTGAAGTCTGTCCCTTATGTTCACTGACACTTCCTGGGGAGTCTAGCAAGAACTAACTGTCTTGGGCAATCAGCCAGTCTGTGAGGGGGAAGAAAATGGGGAATGGTTTGAAACAGCTTTTAAGAACATGGATGTCAGGGATGAGACAGGGGCATGGAGACCAGGCACTCACTTTGCTGCCACCAGATCTGTTAGAACAGGCCAGCCAAGATGAGCCTCTGGGATCCACTCCAGCAGAGCTGTGCAGTGTGTGTGTGTGTGTGTGTGTGTGTGTGTGTGTGTGTGTAAGTGTGTAATGAAAGAACAGAAGATGATACTTGTAGTGGTCACACTGACCCACTGCCTGGCCCCTATTAGCATCTCCTCCCTATGCCACTCCCCAGCCTGTCCTCGACACGACCACTTTCTGAACCTTATTGCTGACCATTTCTTCGATTTTTAGAACTATACGCGGTCATGCACGAATGTCCCCTAGACAAGACACTGTCTTATTTGACTTGCTTCTGAGCTTCCTAAAATCCCTGGTGTGAAGTCCTGTCCCCTGAAGCACTTACAGCCTCACGAGTGGCATTCCAAAGGTCTATCCGACTGCTGGGGCCGCTGGCGGCTTCGCTTGCACTGGTGTGTTAAGTTTGCACATATGTTTGTCGCTTTTTCTGTCATGGAAGATCAGTGTTTCCTGACTGTGCTAGGAGGGTCACAATAAGGAGCAGGCATGAGGAGAGGGATTGGAGCAATGTCTCTCCCAGGGGTGGGAACTGAGGCAGTGTGAGAAGCAGGAAGTGGTAATTGTCCTCTAGAGTCCCACCCATGATCCCAGGGCCCCCATGCCTTCGGTTCCTTCGGAAACACATGCCTAGGTGTGTTCAATAGCCATGAAGACAAGGTTAGGAAGGGCAGGTGAGGAGGACTTCAAGGCATGCTGGAGCAAAGAAGTCCTGACCAAGGCCACCACAAAGGGAGGGCAGAGAGGCCCTGTGATGTGGTCACACACAGGGCTGATCCCTGAGGACTGTGTGGCCAGGCCTGTTTGGTAGTGATAGCTATTCTAGGAGCATGATATGGGGTCAGGCAAGTATGGCCAAACCACAGAGCCCCAGGATGGCCAAAGTAGCAGCAGGGAGAGCTGGGATGGTCATTTGCACGTCTTGCAGTAGACAGGCAGCAACAAGCAGCCTTCGGGGTGGGGGCAGGGCCAGTTGTAGAGAACTGAAGGCCCAGACACAGAGCTGCTGCTGATTTGGTCAGGTCACATCTAGCAGATGGGCCCAAGGTCTCGGACCTTTTGCTACTGCTCTCTGAGGAGACAGCTCCATGTGTGCTGGTGTCTTTCTTACCATCAGTGCCACTGGGGTTCTCTCTGTACACTCACACCCGATGGGCGCATTGGGAAGTGATGTGCGTGAAAATGCTTTAACAAGGTATCCAGTGGTACCCGCTGACCATTTGTTGGCAAGGGAGAGGAACTGGCATCCTACTCCCTACCCAGGCCACTCCTATATTTGTGTGTGAGTGTGTGTGTGTGTGTGTGTGTTACTTTTCAGGATGCTCCTAGCTGGGCTCCAGATAGCTGAGCAGAATTAGAACAGGTTTGGGCCATAGTATCCATTTGCCATGTGACCTGTCCTAAGTCACATGACTTTTCAGGAGCACAGTTTCCTCATCTGCCTGGCAGGGTTGATATCCAACTCACATGAGATAAGGGCTGCGAAGCAAACTGTCGAGACGCTGCACAAACACAAGAAGTTATTTCTTTGCTAGGTAGCCCTTGTAGTAGGCTAGGCAAGATGGCAGCACTGCAGAACATAAGCTCCAGCCAACCAAATTACACTCATCTGGGGCATGTGGCTACGACCCTGTTCCAGCCATGACCACAGTAATGACTTGGAAAATGTGGCAGCCAAGCAACAGCTGGCACAGCTCAGCTGTGGTCGGATCTCCCATAGTCTGCTGCTGAGAAACACAGCTGCCCGGTCATTCCAGCCCATTCTGTGTCATAGTCCAGGCAGCTGAGCCGCAGAGCCTCCTGGCTGCTGACTTAAGGGCAGCAGTGTGACCCTGACTTAAACGTCAAGGTCATCCAAGGTGTAGTCAATCGCGTGACAGAAACACACGCAGAGAAAAGGCTTCTGCTCGGCTCCCACGGTTCTTCTCGCTCTGTGGCTTAGTCTGTATACTTTTCCTGCTCCCCACATCTAATTCTGCCCTTGGCCATGACCCTTCTGTTGGATGTCTAGAATTATATCTTTTCTAAGGCCTAGCATGATCCTCTTTCTCTCTGTGCCCTCTTCCTTACCCCACAGCCCAGACACTCGACCAGACAGAAACAGAATCGGTGAGGTGGTAATGGGGGTTTCCTCCTCAGCATAGTGGGTTTGAGTTCCCCCCAGCTCCCTCTTACAGCAACCGCTGCTGGCGAGCTTGATAAGCCATCCTTTCCTAGTCTGGGTTTCCTTACCCACAAGGAGTGAACATGCTCGTAAGCTACACCCCAGAGCTGTTGCATGCTCTAGTAAGAGCTGTGTGGAGCAGCCCCTAACACACAGCAGTCCCTTAGGTTGGATGTTTATTACATTGGTTCCTATGACAACAGTTCTCACACCTGACCCCAGGGCAGGACCTTGAAGTTAGGTAAATTTGGGCAACCTTTCTCATTTTAATGTTAACTGGGATGTTGGTATTGCGAGGTTTGGCTCACTAGCTTCCTGTGCCTCAACCGTTGTTCTCCCAAACCAGATCTGCATCCCTTCCCTTGGGCACCACCAGTGCTGTCCTGGTTGGGTTGTCGGTTCTCTGCTGCCCTGGCCAGCCTGCTCTGCTCTCTCCTGTTCCATGGTTCTGATAGTCAGTGCCTCCCGAAGAGGTTTAGACCACTCTCTGTGATACCTTCCTTGACCACTATGATAGTTAAGTTGTTTTTTTCCTCTGGAATCTAGCACGCTCCCTGGGTTCCGACCGAGATAAAGCCTAAGCTAGGTATGGGCCTGTGGCTAAGGCCCAGGCAAGGTCAGTGCCTCTAAGGGAAACTCCATTTAGTGTGGAAGACTCACAATGACAATCACAGCTCCTTGTAGGTCATGCTGTCCAAAGGCACGCACAGCATCAGGGGACAGTTAACTGCCCAGCTGAAGGCTCCCAGAGGAGGTGATGCCTACGTGAATACAAGGCATGAGAGGTTTGCGCAGCAGATAGTGAGGGGTTCACATTCTCCCAGATTTCCTGCAACCTTACTGGCTGTTCCTCCTGAGCCCCTTCCCTGGACCTGTCAATACTGGAGCCCACTAGGGATGGATTCTGGAAATTTGTCTTTGTATATCTACATCACTTCCTTAACCATCTCATCCTGCCCTGTGTGTGGCTTTAGGGACCAGTCACACGCTCTTGATTCTGAAATTCATATTGCTAATCTTGACCTCTGCTTGAGCTCCAGACCGAAATATCCCATTGCCCACTTAGACTTCCTATTAGAACAGTCAGTGGACACCAAACACTTACCAGGCTCAAAATCAGATTCTTGTCTTCCCTCCTAGGGCCTGCTGTCCTCCACCCTTCCTATTCCAGCAAACAAGCAGCATTCACATAGACCAGAAACTGCTAGTCTTAAGGTTAGCTAAGCTATCTTTAGCTCTTCCACCCCCTTCTTGCCACATGCAACCCACAAACAACCCTGCAGTAGCCAACAAGAACCTTTACAAGTCATATTACAAACCCTCCCTGGTCCTCCCACCCTCCTTACCATATTCCTGGGTTCTAACCTTGCTGTCACTTTAGCTTGCTTGTGGTCCTCTCTTCTCTAAAATGTGAGGCCTGGAGACAGTAGCAGTGTTGAGTTGCTTTGTTTCTTGTGCCTAGAATATGGGGTCTCCTAGAAGGAGGAACTAGATAAGATTAGGGATTTTTCAAAAAAGAAAAAAAAACATAAATGTCTCTTTCTGGAAATGTAGCATATTAAAAGTACGTCAGTGTTGATCCAATCTGGCTCCTTCCAAAAGAACATCATCTTGAGAAGTTGTAGACCAAGAAACTTCCAGACTTTATAATAATTTATTTGCCAGCTCAGACATTCTGGGATTTCAATGGCAAGATCCAACTCTAAGTTCTTCCCAGTCCTGGGAATCTGAAAGACCTTGGTACTGGGTATTTTATCATCAGACTTTCTGAGAGGAAAACAATCCAGATGTCCTTGAACTTAAAAAAAGTATCGTTTGACCTCCCTTAAACACATAATGTGGTCAGAGCTATGCAGAGCTCATTCCACGGTGTGCTGTGTCTGATGGTACATGGTTATAGCATGCATTCAGGAAGTATCACACTAATGAATGGATGAAAGTTCTTTTCCCGTTTACAAATGAGGACAGCGGGGCCTAGAGCCACCAAGGACCTTGACTTCAGTCACAAGTTAGAGGCAGAGCTGAAGATGAGCATCTCCTGTGACTGCACAGCATGGCACTGCCATCTCCTGTCGGTGGACTTAGTTGGAAACTGCAGAGAGCTAAGTGATAGTTGACCTTCTATATGGAGAGCACAGTCCTAGGGTCACTAAGCGTAGTTGACCTTCTATAGGAGAGTACAGTCCTAGGCTCACTAAGTTCACCTTCTATGGGAGAGCACAGTCCTGGGGTCACTAAGCGTAGTTGACCTTCTGTAGGAGAGTACAGTCCTAGGCTCACTAAGTTCACCTTCTATAGGAGAGCACAGTCCTAGGCTCACTTTGCATAACCGTTATTGATGGTCCTGCAGGGCTTCTATGTTAGACCCATTTCTCAATGAGGGCATGGGTACAGAGAAGCTAAACACCTTCCCAAAAGCCTGTTAAAGAGCTAATGGGAAAGAGTGAGCTGAGACCGGAACCCAGGACTTTCTAACTCCAAAGCATTCCTGTGGAAGATTCAATCTATTCAAAACCATGCACTTCAGATTCTTAAATAGTCGGCCCTGGTGGGTACCAACAAATTCATTGGAAGAGGTTTCCATGCTCTTTCTCTAGTTCTCAACTGATGTGGGATGTCTTTCTGTATATGTGTTGCTTTTATTGGTTGATAAAATAAAACTGTTTGGTCAATGGCTTAGCAGAGTAGAAGCCAGGAGCAGGAAATCAGAACAGAGATAGAGAGAATAGTCGAGTCAGGAAGACACCATGTAGCTGCCGAAGGAGGAGGACAGACGCCAGAAACTTAGCGGTAAGCCAGAGCCTCGTGGAGATACACAGATTAATAGAAAAGGGTTAATTTAAGATGTAAGAGTTAGTTAATAAGAAACCTGAGCCAAACAGTGTTGTAATTAATATAATTTTGTGTGAGTATTCTGGTCTGAGTAGTCGGGAGACAAAGGAGCGATCTCTGTTTACTCTCAACATCCCCTTCACATTCACTAGTCCACTGGGCATGGAACAGAAAAGCCTAATCAGGTTTGAAAAAGTGGAACTCCATACTTCTGAGATGCAGCAGGATGTCCAGGGCTGGCACAGTTGGTCAGCCACTGTCCTCAGCCTTATCTGCAGCACAAGGCTCAGGCCAGGTCCAAAGTCACACTCCTGGTGTCACCAGCCTCCCGAGGGCCTCATCACTCACAGCCCTGTGCTTTTTGGATTATCACAGCCGCTTGTCATTTATTATTCCACAGATCTCTCATCCATGCAGCATTTTCTACTGATTTCCATCCCTTCCTGTTCAGGACCTCGGAAAGAAAAATAGTACAAGGGCGATTTTTCCAGCTCCTCATCCTGATTGCCCTTCACTGAGACATAAGTTCATCTTGAATCATTCCCAAAAATGGTCATCCAGACTTTGATTTCATTAATATAGATGAAGCTACAGTTTGATAATTATCATTTAAATAATGCATATTCTCTATGGATGAGCAAATGGTTTCCTCTCATCTTTCCCTCTGGAGTCCGTAGAGGAAGAGGAGTCTATACCATATCTTTTTTCTTTTTTGCCCTTTTCTACCTTATTTATTTATTTAGTTAGTTTTTTGAGACTCTGGGGTTGTATCAATTATGTTAGAAGTTTTCTAATGTTAACACTTCTAGAGAATCTGAGGTCCATGTAGTTCAAGTCTGAATCTCATTCGGAAGGATCTTTAGGATGCAGAGTCAGTCAGATGAAGGACTGTGTGAGAGGAGGGCAAGATGCACATGGCAGTGTGTCTAATGGAAGAACTTGTAAGAACTTCAGAAGCCAGGTGTCGCAGTCAAGCACAGGTGTACAGCAGTGAGCCTTGAGTGCAGGGTTGGCCTGTGGCGGTGACCCGTGAGGTCGTGGCACAGGGGTCCACATTCTAGCTTAGTCTCATGCTCTGGTGTCACCATCTGAAAACTGCTAATGCTCATCTTACACTGGAGGCACATGTGATTAGTCCTGTTTGGGCATGAAAGCTAACACCCCCACTCACTAGGTAGGCAGGACTGAGGACCCATAATCATTTTGGGGGTTCAAATTCTGCTCCCTTCTAAGAGTGTCTTCATAGGATCTAATGGAACTGTGAATCTTTGGTGCATTGTATAACTCATACTGTGTGTGCGTGTGCGCGTGTGTGTGTAGCACGCACAACCATAGGGATCCTAGGAGCAGGAAAATGGGGTGGTGATTGGCACCCCCCAGTGTCTTATTTTCCAAATATTTCCCCCTTCTTTCAACTCTCTCTCTCTCTCTCTCTCTCTCTCTCTCTCTCTCTCTCTCTCTCACACACACACACACACACACACACACACACACACACATACCAAAAGGTTATATCAGATTCACCCAAGGAGGGTAATTGATGTTTCCCAAACACATTTGCTCACATTCTGCTCTGAGAAATTTTAACAGCAGGCACGGCCTAGAGGACGAGCTACTTCTCAATCCTTACAAAACACTCATGTGTGCTCCAGGCTAAGAGAGGTGGCCTTAGGTTTCCAGAGATGTAGCCAGGAAGTAACCTAACAGAAGAGAGTAGACCGAAAGCCTGGGAGAGGAATTGGTGGACTGCTGGTGATCCTTAACATGATAAAAACGTGTTGAAGAGGCCAGAGGGCATCATTTCATGGCACTTGGGATGACAGCTGGTCCTGAGATGCACTGTGGGACTGCATCTGTTACCAAGGTTTCCATAAAAAATTCTACTATCCATTTGGTCTAACAAGTACACCCAGAGGAGCAAGGGCTGTGGAGGAGGAGGCCAGGGTCAAGGCCAAGGTTGGAGCCCGAGTTTGAATTTATTTTCGCTTTAATGACCCTAATACCATACTCAATTCCTGAGAAGAAATTGTGGCCAGAGGGAGTAATTCTGAATTATGTTTGCTCTGCCCAGATTCTAGGCTTTGACATCCTTCTGATGAAAAACCTGAAGCCTATGCTACTTGAAGTGAATGCAAACCCCAGCATGAGAATTGAGCATGAATACGAAGTAAGTGATCGCATCATCCCCTGGACTGTGGACCTGTGAGGCGGCCCCTTAACTGCCCAAGACTTGCCATCCTCAGAATTTCACAACTAAATTCCGTTCAAGTCAAATAATTTTAGTTCTGTCGAGCTCCAAAGAGAGTCTATTAATATAAGACCTTTCCGACCCATGGTAATTTCCCAGCATACCATTCTTCTCATTTTAAAGGTGGGAAACTTAGGAGCGGCTGAGCCTTTCCATCCATTGTGACATGAACTAATTAGTTAGCCTCAGGAGATGAGCTGACTGAAATTCTGTAATGTGAGTTAGCCATGCCGGCATGCTTGGCCACTAAGATAAACAGTACATTTAACAATGCTCATGCTGTACCCCCACAAAGGCTGCCAAGGAGTCAGAGGAAATCGCCCTAAAATTCCTACTGGGCTTTTTGGGGTATTAACTGGATTCTTTTAATTTTCTTAAGCCCTTCCCACATTCCCAGGTCATACATAATGAGTGTGTATAATTTTGATAATCCAAAAAGCACAGGGCTAAGACCAGGCATAGTACTGCACATCTGTAACCCCAGGCGTCCAGAGGGCAGGGCAGAGCAATCACAAGTTCAAGGCCATCCTCAGCTACACATCAAGTTGGCAGCCAGCCTGGGCTAACAAAATAAAACCTTAACCAATAACAATAAAATCACAGTGCTGTTAATTTTTTGGTGTGGGTTTTGTGGATTTATAAAAGGTGATTTCATATTTAAGCTAAGATTAAGGAGTGTTAAAACCCCTTTCTGTGGATTTGCCAAGGCCAGATGCATGATTGCACAATCATTGAGCTAGATGCGGTACGCAGGGATAAGCATCAGAAGTGGGTCACAGTTCAGCTCTGACTTGGAATCCTTACCTTCCAAGCTCTCTCCAGGGGTGTTTGAAAATATCCCCAGCCTGGTGGATGAAGAGGTGAAGGTGGCCGTGATCAGAGACACGCTGCGCCTCATGAATCCTCTGAAGAAGAAAGAGATGCAGTAAGTCTTATGTCGCTCATTTCTGCTGATTCTTTCATTTCTCTATGTGTCCTAAGCAGGCGAAGGAACTTCTTGAAATCTAAGTGAATAAATCACTTTTTTATTTCACAAATAGTCCCAGGCAACCAGCAGCTCAAAATCAGGAGTGGTCGGGAACACCGCTCAGTGGTAGAGAATGTGTGAGACCCACGTCCAATTCCCAGCACTACAACCAATCAGCCAACCAAACAATCGATACACAAATAGAACCAGGAATTACATCACAGTTGTGATTCAGTGCTAAATCCCCATGGTTATCCACATCTGGAGGTGCCCACCAAGCTCCCCCTTCCCTCGGCCGCCCATGGGGACATGAAGGAAAGGATGTATGTCCCTGCCTCAGCCTTCTGCAGTCATCCTAGGTATGAAGAACTTTTCACTCGGCGATTTGTTCTGTTTGTCCCCCACCACACAGGCATTCCAGGTACATGCTGACTGATCAGCATCTGCCTAGCTTTTAGGCAGAACCCGAAGGCAGGCATTTCAGGAACTTCTCATACCTGTGATGTGTCAGATGGCCCCAAAGCTCCCAGACATGTCAGCATTTGCCAGCTGTGAGACAAGAGGAATGCTCACTTCCCCGGCCCAGTTCCTGTTTGTGTTCCTACACAGCAGTGCTTCTCACCCTTGAGTGCACTTAGAGAATGCCAGCGCAAGGGCCTCACCTTCATCGGTTCTGCACAGTGTTGTGACCGTGGCTTGGAGATTTGTCCACAGACGTCTGTAGGTTCTCTAGATGCTGCATCTTGGCAGCTGTGGTTGAGCAACCGCACCTTGTAAGAAATGTCAGGCAGGCTGGCTGGTCCCTGCTTCCTGATCTCTTCTGAGAGCAACTCACCATTCTGGCGGCAGCCCAGGAACCTTCACCTGTGGTTTGCAAAGGACAGTTGTGCAGGTGGGGCCACCATGGACTTCTGCTCTAGAGGTGATGTCCCTGGGCCACAAAGTCCTCTGAGCACCTCGGGCCCGACAGCAGGCAGATGATACGGCCACTGACTAAACATGTTCAGCTGCTCTCACCCCTTACCCCTCAGAACAAACACTGAGCTGTAATTTAGTTAGATTAAGTGCAATAAAGCACACTCCGTAAAGATCTCTTCTGTGATGCTTATTGATTCCAGCGATCAAGATGAGATCCCAAGAGAGTTTGTGCTCTATGCAGAGAGAAGTGGGTGGCTTTCTGTGGCATGGGGGTGCAGATTATTTTAGGATGACCTTAACACATTGCTATTCTGACTTCACTGGAACAAGAAGTTAAAATAGTGTGGCCTGAGCATACTTTTAAAATTTCAGTTTTTCTTTTGAAAATTTCCTAAGTGAGTACTATATTACATCATTTTCATCCCTTCCTCACCTGCTCCAGCTCATCATCTGTCCTTCCTATTACTCCATCTCAATATCAGTAACTATTGTACAGATAAAAATCTACCAAGTGTGTTAGTGTTGCTGTTATACATGTGTGTTTAGGACTGGGGTTGGAGCGCCTACCAGAGGCCTTCTCTATGGCCACGCGGTCCTGAATGTACCCTGCCTCCTCAGAGCTCAGACCCTAGGCAGAGTGAGGGCTGGCTAGTGCTCACAGGGAGGCTGAGCATTCTGAGATCTCTGACCTCTGTCACGCAACCCAGAAGACTCAGAGGTCCCGCCCTTCACACTAAAAGCCCGAAGACAGAGCTTGCTTTTCCCTGTCCTTGTTTCACGTTACCTATACAATCCATATGAGCTGAAGGTCCCAGTGGAGCCTGGGACCATTGACTGGCAGGGATGAGAGGGGCATTTTATAACTTATCAAGTCATAAGTAGCCGCGTCTCATTTTTAACATAGAAAGCATTGCTGCTGTATCTAGGAGCAGAATTTCAGGACTCTGGCTTCCTTTCTATTCTAGAAGCCCTTTCATTTTCCACTTTCTCACCAGCGGCGAGAGGAGGTGTATAGAAAGCTAAATGCCATTTCCTGGTTTTTCCCTTACTTTCATTTTATATTACTTTGTTTTTAGCCAGCAATGGTCACCCATGAGAGCATGTTGGGATCGGCCAGGTGCAGTACTATCCACGCAGTTACTGTTGGGCTCACTTCACCAGGTTCCAGGCTGAATTAATTCTCAGTAGTCCCTATGGCTTGAGATAACTGGACAAAGCCCAGGGCGGATGGCCCAGGAAAATATGCAGGACTGTGGAGCCAAAAACTGTGGCTGCTGTTCTGAGACCACGCCACTCCCGCTGTGCTGAGTGACATCACAGTAGCATCCCAGGCCCGAACTTGTCCGGAAAAAGCAAAGTTTTCATTTATTTTTGCTCTTGTCTGTTTGTAATTTGAGTTGGAGCGCACTATGAAGTCCAGGCAGGCCTTGAACTCTCAATCCTCCTGTCTCTCTCTGTCTTCCTAGAGGCAGAGGAATTAGAGGTGTGTGTCACCGTGCCCAGTTCTAGAGCTCGTGGCTGGGCCTTGTTAGCTCCTGGCTGGGTGTTTGTCATCAAAACAGCCGAAGTGAGGTTCCCTTGACCTATGCAATCTTAATTAACAAGCAGATGACCAAGCCCCTCAGCCCCAAGACTTCTCTGAAGAGGTGCAGAAGAATCATTAGAAAGGCTCCAACATGTGCCGGTGCACCCTGCACCTCCATACACCCCTAAAATCGTGCACTCCGCACCTCCGTACACCCGGCACCTCCATGTACCTCCGCACCTCCGTGTACCCCACACCTCCGTGCAACCTGCACCTCCATACACCCCTAACCTCCGTGCACTCCGCACCTCCGTACACCCGACACCTCCATGTACCTCCGCACCTCCGTGTACCCCAAACCCCGTGAACCCCGCACCTCCGTACACCCAGCACCTCGTGTACCTCCGCACCTCCGTGTACCCCACACCTCCGTGTACCTCCGCACCTCCATACACCCCTAACCTTTGTTCACCCCGCACCTCCGTACACCCGACACCACCTCCGTGTACCCCACACCCCGTGCACCCCGCACCTCCGTACACCCGGCACCTCCGTGTACCCTGCACCTCCGCACACCCTGGAACCTGTAGCCCGCGGGACCTGTCTTGGTGAGGCTGACAGCAGTCACAGGTGTTCTGTGGCAGAGGAGCCTGACCCTGCTGACCTCCTTCCAAACAGAGTCAACAGCACTTTGTTTGCTGGGCACGATGATTTATGCCTATAGTCCCAACACGCGGAGGCTGATGGGGTTGCCATAAATTCAAGGAAAACCTGTGCTACCAAATGAATTCCAGCCACGCCTGGGCTACAGAATGAGACACTATCTCAAAAACAAACAAACAAAGTGCTTTCTTTTGAGCCTAACAAATGGCATTCAGTCTTTCTTCTGAGGTGAGCTACTCCTAAGTGCTTCAGAGAGTTGCTTGGCTGTCTTTTCTACATAGCAGAAAATAACATGTAAATAAAAGAAAGATGAGCACATTCAAGTGAAACAACTTAGTGGGCATGTTTTTGTTGGTTTGGTCTTGTTTTTTGAGGCAGAGTCTCCCTGTGTAGTCTAGCCTCCTGGGTGCTGGAGTCGTAGGTGACTGCCACTACACTGTTGACAGCAGGGGCTCTCTATGCTCATTTTACTGATACGGGACAGGGAGCAAACAGAGTGACCATTAGCTGTTACTTCCCTTTCTTGAGGAATTGTGAGTTTAAAACTAATGTGTCCTAAATTAGAGGCAGTGAGATTACGGTGGACTGTCGCTGGTGCTGGAGAGGGCTGCCGTGGAGGAGAGATGTTTCCAGGCGCAGGGTGTCACTGGGACATGTGTGTTTGAGACGCTAGGGGAAACAGCCTTTAGAGTGAAGAAGGGGGATGGCTATTACAAGAGAACTAAGTTAACGAAAATCTTCATTACTGGCTACGATTTGCATCCTGGGGCTCGGAGGAGTAACCCTCAGCACGTGGGAATGCGATGCTGACCCTCATCTCTAGAGTAAAATTAACAGACTATAAATTTAATGCGTATATACTTCGGGGGACTGGGGTGTAGCTCAATGATAGAACAGTTGCCTAGCATATATGAGGCCTTAGATGTGATCTTTAGCACCCCCTCCCCCAAAAGAATACAATTCACTAAATATCACAGTGTTGTAGGGACATCATTCCACTTAGCTCCAAAAATTTTTGACTTTCCGTGAGAAACCCATCCCTGTATGCACTGCTGCCTCTCCACATTTCCAGGCCTCCACCCTGCCCTTCACGGAAGCCGCCTAACTGCCATGGATTTCCGGTCCTTGGTAGTGTTGCTTGTTTTGTTTTTTAGCAGAATTACACAATGTGCGCTCTTTTGTGACTGGCTTCTTTCATTTTTATGATGTCCCTGAGGTTCAGCCATGTTACAGCATGTTAGACCTTTATAACTGAGTACCCTATTTACATAGCTAGCTCCACTGCAGCTCAGGGCCTGTTTGTCGGGTGATGGACAGCTGGGCTTTGAGACTGAGCTCTGATTTGGGTCTTCTGTATTAGATTCCACCCACAGGGAAAGGGGTTTTCTGCCTCAAGAACCACTGTTGTAATCTGACCCCTCACTTTATTGGTAGGGCACAGAGGTCACCACTCCAGATTCAAGACCCCCCTCGCGGGTGATTTGAGAGCTGGGTGAAGTTACCCTATGCCTGTATCTCCCCTGCACATGTCCCCCGCCCTGCCTCCACCTGGAAACTAAGTTGGAAAAGGTGTGCGCCTGGTCTGTCCCAAGTCACAAGTCTCATTAGTGGCAGAGTAAAAATGATCAGAGTCTCCTCACTTTGAGACGGTTTCTGCCATGCATTGAAAGCCCAGCTTCCAAAAGGAAGGGGAAAATAAGGAAAACCAATAGAGACCCCTCTTAAGGTAACCTTGTATCAGACAACATTCCCAGCTGTTTGCAGACAAGGCCCTAGATTGCAGGAGGCCCATCTAACCCCGTCTGACTGATCGCTCTTCTTTCCCACATGCTGATCTTTCCAGTAGCTGGAC